ATGTGTTCGCGCCATGCCCCACGAGGGGGAAACTAACACGGGGGTTTTTGGTTATAAGATATTTCTAGTATGTAGTTAAAAGATACAAAATTGTGAATTGTATTTAAAAAAAGAGGAAATTACGATTTAGTGTAAGAATGTTTTTCACGATATGTGTATTGTATCCATTACAAAATATATTTAACTTATACATAATTTTTCTAGATATGATAAATTTCCATTTGGGAGTCATAGGTATGTTTACACGTTTAACATAGGATCAATGTATAATGATCTATTAGCTTAAATGGTATTCGACAAAACTAAAAATGTTGGTTAACATAGCTTTTGGGGTGTCAAATAATATGTTTCATTGCTCATGCTCAATTTAATCCTTGGTATGCATTCAACATTTAAGTCTTACCTACTTATTTATTAATTTAAAAGAAAATTACATTACTACATTTGATAGTACAGAGAACAACTAAAAATGCCTCTTACAACCTATACTTGAAGTTATAACTTAAATTAAAACTAACTAAGGTACCTTTGCCAGCGTGTAATGGTGATAAAAACGTATTAGCAAGTAAAGACAGGTAGCTAACCAAAAGCATTCACTCGAAAAATCGTAAGGTAATAAGTGTATAATATAACTGTACTGTAAGTGAAGGTGGACCGACAGAGTAAATGCAACTTAACAATACGAAACGCAATTAAGTTAAGTTAATTAAATTGTTATGTTTTAGAAAAATACCGAAAATGTAATGAATGGATTTGGTGCTTATTTCTATTTGTAAAAGGCTAGATGTTGGAATTGGTGGATCAGCTAAAGATTCAACAAATAGTTTTTACATCTATACTAATATATATAGCTGAAAAGTTTGTTTGTTTGAACGGGCTAATCTTAGGAACTATTAGTTCGAATTGAAAAATTCGTTAGAACATTTCTTGAGGAAGACTATAACACATAACGCTGTAACTAATAGGAGCGAAGAAACAGCGGGAAATGTCGAAAAAACGCGGAAAATTATTCATCCTTGTGGGTTGCCATGCCATTGTGTACGCTGCGAAAATGGTTCAAGATACCTAAAAATATGTATGAAAAAATTATACCTCTTTAAATGATCTAAAAGTCAGCGACACTATATGTCTATCTTCTAAGATTAACGTGCAAGAACAACGGGACGCGGACTAAGTCGTGGGTAACAGTTTAAGTTTATAGAGTTGAACAGGCTTGCAAAAAATAAAATTTATATTCTAAATAATTATTCTACGCGTACGAAGTCGCTGACTCAGCTATATAAACATTTCTTTTGGAATAATCGCAAATATGAACTCAAAACGCGAAATTATTTTAGTTTAATCTAATATATTTATTAATATTTTTATGAATACCTATATTGACTAATTGGTATTTTATTAAATACTGTCTATAGTTTACGCGAGTAGTACACATTTAAATAAAACACTTTAACGGTTTAAAACGCGAAATAGGTACTATTTTGGGCCTGGAAAACATCGGGCAGCTTAAAAATAGTTTTAAATAAGTTTAACTTAACGACATATTACGTGTATTATGCGTTGAAAGTTTTATTTAAAATGTTTTTGGGTAAATAACTGACTAAGTACGTTTGTCTGTGTATTATCAATTTTCATGCCGTTTCTTCTCTTGTGAAGGGAAATGCGCATTCTGTTATAGAATTACTTTTCTTGCCTTTGTCCCAATTGATGTCTACATGAAGACATTGGACACTTCTATATTATATAAATGATAACACGATCTCCTACTTTATCCCAACATAATCTTTCGTCCACCAATGGTAATACTGATCGATCAAATACGGGCTAGGTGTTGAATTTAACACTTCTCCCATACAGATAAATATATCTCTTAACACTATAAAAATACGAAACAAATCCTCCTGACGGCTCGAATACAATAGAATAAACAGCACAGACTAATTTAAACCGTAATATTATGTAATAGAGTCGAAAACCAAACGCGGGTTTTACGAATTACTCTACAGCTAAGGCGTCAATTTTCACACCTAATTCCTATACTCGAAATTGGATTCTGTTGCAAAGAATGAAGGTTTATTTTTAGTTTTTATTTAACTAACTATTAGGCCCTTTAAGACGGGATAAAGAAGGTGTCGTATCTCTCGCGTCGGGTGTGAAGGGACGTTAAAACGAATCACGATTGGTCAGTTTAAAAGGTGTTGATTATTGAGATATGGTCGATATTGTAGTTGGGATTGGACAATCATTGGCCAACACCAAGAATTCAGGCAAACTTCATTAATCATACGCAAATGCTCTTGGTTACTTTATTCAGATTTCCTAATTACTTGCATTTGCATGCACAAAGTAGGCCATTAATTTTAATATGTCAAAGCACCTCACAGACTGCATAAAAGAAAAATGTAGCATAATCTGTGGCGGCGTACCTATCTTTAAGCAGTCTGTATGCCATCATAGATATTATAGTGGTCTATAAATACCAGTTCTTGGTAAGGGTGCGATCAATCTTAGTCGTATATCTTCATCTGTTCACGTTTTGGTCGTGTCACGACTGCGTCGGCAACACTGGAAATAGGCGGCTACACTATGACATTTTCTTGGCCACAGATTAGGGCAAAGTTTCAAAGATGCTATCATCTGTGGACTTCGATGAGTGGAAACTGATTTTCCTACTAATTAATTATTATTTACCGACCTGTAACATTATTAGGCGATGAAAAAACGAAATCTTAGAAAAAATCAAATTATCTAGAATATAAATTTAAACACAAATTGTCAATATAACGGAAAACTACAGATTAAAATCAGAATAAATCCTATTATTTTGAGTTTCCATTACTTTTTTGTTACCAGTACCAAGACATAATAAAAAAGCGGAAGTAATTTTAAAATTCGACCACAAAGAATACAGCACTACATTTAATCAAAAGAGCTTCTATTCATTCCTCTAATGCCTTAAAATTCCCTCACAATATCCTGGACTCCTGGTAGTAAGTCACGCTTACGAGATAAAGGCACAAAGGGGAGGTGGATCAATGTTGGGGGAGGGGGGCGGTAATCGTCTTACTGGACTTCCGTGCTACGTGGACAATAAGTGCTATATATCTCCAGATCTATAGGTCACGAGAGATAGTTGGAATTCGCCTAACATTTCTTTAGGCTATCGACAGTTTCACTATGAATTTCAGGAAAGTAATTTTCGACTTAGTTATTAGAAAATAAGGTAGGTATATAGGTAATTGTGTAGATTTTGGAGGTATAGGTATATTAAATATTCTATATACAACTCTGGGAGAAAGTACCTATTATCGTCTTTTACGAGAAATCTATAAGAACAAAAGATATGAGAGCATATAATATAGTTAATTAACCTCACTAATTTGAGTATGTGAGTGTTATATCCGTACACAGTTCATCATACCTTATTTAACTTGCACCTGATAAAAAAAATATAGTTACAATACGTTTCTTCATTAGAATTGGAGGTAGAGGATTTTCTTTCTGAGTATACACAGTTACATCAAACATATAGATGGAAATAGTAAGAAAATACTCAAATTGACACTCAAACACCCATGAGACAGTCGCGTACACAATTGTATAGCACAACATTTTTCGTAATTCGGAAGAAACGCGTTCATGTAGAGTGTGAGATAAGGGTTGCCACATACTGATATACCAAAATTGTAATGTAGCATTAGTATATTATCTGTAGCATCTATATCCAATCGTATCAAGCAGTGTATGTCCAATAAATAAAAATAAACATTTAGCTAAGAGAATGTTGTAAGGTATAATCTTTTGACTATTCGACACAGATGTCAATGACATTACATTTTAACAATTCAAAAAGATAATTTATCGATTTTATCTCTCTCTTTTTACGCGGAAATTTTTCATTATTTCACAATTTAAGTTTTTTCTTAGCTGTATTTGTGTACAGTTAAATTCGCTACAAAATAGATCACGTTCAAATGAAATTATGGAATAGTGGCAACCCTACCCACACAAGCCACAAACGTGCGGAGGAATCTAGGGGGAGACACCCGCGTGCGACGTCCTGTCACTGACAAATGGCCCGGAGGAGAGCTCGACCCCGACACCCTCACTCAACTACGCCACAATATCTTTATACTAGAGACTAGCTCAAGCCCGCGACTCTGTTCTTACGCTTATATTATAAACCTAGAAATAAAAGCTTTTTTTAATTCTATTCAGATTTAATTTTGCATAGTATTAAATAATTGAAATAAAGTTTTTTGCCTAGAAATATATCCAGATTTTTAGTTTAACACAAAAACAGATAAATGTTCGTTTTCTTTATATCTAATGCGTCAACTATCAAATTTGTCTATGGTGTCAATGTCCCCACCATAATGCTGACACGTTTTGGATGCTTTGCAGCCGTGGTCACAGGGAGGCTAAAGATGGAGGGTGTCGCTAATGGCAAAGTAAAAACTGCTACGCTAGCGCTATCTGTTCCTTTCTATTTGTCGAAACTGGCCGGATCTTTGCTGATCTAATGGTGTTCTCGCGTTTGCTAGCATGCTGGTTGAAACCGTTAAAATTGTTTTATTTAAATTATACTTGAATCTGTTTTATTAAATTCACTGTACTAGCTTCGTTCAAGGTTTTAGACTTTTATTTACTCTATCAAGGACTGTAATTCCGAGAACCGTTAGAGTTAACGGGAAGGTATAAATTAATGACATATTTTAGCTTTATCTAAGCAAATAGATTTTTCCTTTCTAGGTTCATAAAACAAATAGTAGTCATTGTGTTGAAAGAGGAAAGGAGTGCTTTTTATTTCCTCAAGTCTAGGTCCTATATAATTATTGCATAGGGGAAAGATATGCTTCCTGATTTCGAAACGTTTTTAAACCAACTTTTATATTTGCTTAGTTTCCAAAGAAACGAAGAAGATGTTTTTAAAGAGTAAAAATTAAATGTTCCCAAAAAGGTTGTGCGACTATCCGGAGTAAGGCCATTCCAGTTGAAATCTACTCGCCAGAGTGGGGTGCTATAATTTCATAGGACGGGCGTCGCTCGTCGCTTATCTCGGGCGCTGGCTGCAGGCGCCGCAAACATCGCCTCTGAACCCCCCTCCCCCTACCACTGACCTCCCACCACCCACCACCCGACCCTCCTACGGATATTGGGAATTCCGATATACCACATATTTTAAGTTCCCACAGACCAATACTTGGGCACATACTACAATTAATAGCGCTACATTCTTATAATATCCTAGTACTCAATAATGATTTATTGGAAAATTTTTTTTCTTACATTTTTTTTACAAAAAGGGGTTTAAATTGTTAAATCATCATCTTATACAATACTGTACAATATTAATATTTAAGTTCTTCTTGTCATAATACAAACAGTTAATATTTTGCCAAATGTCTATTTTGAAAATAAATACAAAGAAACTTTTCCCTTTTCATTTTCATTATCTCCTACCTTTATTGATAAACTAAATTATTATATTAATAAAAGTAAAAAATAAGGTTGAATTTGCTTGACACATCTAAATCTACGAAAAATTTAAGGTTGTATTTACTAAAAGTGTTTCAGAATTTTAAGCTAAAAAGTGCATTTATGAAATCAAAAGTATAAAAATAAAATTGAGTTTTGTACTCAACCTAATACGTAAATAAAGGTATTATTTTTTATAGAAAAATGTATGACGTCCAATTCATCTAAAAACGCTGATATCAGAAACGATAACCCCTATAAAGCGTCTCGTCGGAGATATAAAAATATAAAAATAGGGACAAATATAGAAATATAAGGTAAAATCGATCAATCTCATTTCAAAGAAGCGTGCTAAGACTTTTTACTGTATAGCTAATCTTTACTTAGAAGTTTTAGTGCCTAGATCTTTAGTTAAGTTAAATTTTACTTTCTATTTAGATTCAGTTAACTTACCTATATGGTTTTTAGCAGTGGCCCCACGTCGGATGATCTGCTACACCGGTGTAAGTTAAGTTAATATATTTCGCATTTCAAGCCGTTAAATGCGTGTTAAATGCTTTACAAGAAAGTGGGCAGGTTTGCTTGTTTGTCCTCCTCTATCATAAATAATATAAATAAATTTCATTTTATCCAGCCTACATGTTATTCAGTCAGATTATTGAGTAAAGAATCCAAAATTCGTAACACAAAAATAAACAAAATAATACTGAGCTACATTCATGAAAAATGGTTTATATTCTATGGCTTGTCACGTAGTGAATACAAAAGATGCGAAATTAACAGATCGAGAACGTTATCAAATCCGTGGACCGATTACTAAAGATAACAAGAGGAAGGAAATCTCAACTTCTCAAGGAAGAGGGTAATTAGAAGGGTCGCAAACAGCTTAGCAGATAACCGGTCCACTCGAAACTTCCCCCAGACATTGAAACATGGTAATGACATTCAAGGGGATGCTAATGACGTTTTCGGATTGGAAAGCGTTTGTTTTTGATAATGGAGCGGGTTAGCTTTGTTCAACTTAGTTTCTGTTATCTGTGATCTGTAGAATTTGATTTAGATATTGGATGGTTATCTGTTTAAAAATTGTCTAATAATCTGTAACTTAGTACCTATAGTCTGTAGTTTACAAGTGTTATACAAATAAAAGAAAATGTTCTAAGCATCCAAAACCTTATAAAAATAAACGAACTAAAATATTTCGTATTTTTAAAACCGTTGAAATAGTTTTATTTAAGTTTCTGAATTGTTATTAGATTATTGACTACATTCTTTTGTTAAATACATACTTGTTTATTTTGTTAATTCAATAGTTTTAAGGTAAGTGAAGTAAGTTATTTCAATATTGTGTTACATGTTACATTGTCTTCGCGGTACTTTGTTTTATTTATATTTGGTAACAAGGCTTAAGTTACTCGTATAAAAAACAAACGTTACACAATTAACCATGTCGATGTCGAGCATGGCCCAGTGAATGGCGAATAATCTACGGGTCTTAGATTCGATTCCTACCATACTGAAAATCTATATATTATTAAGGTGATAGGGATATCGGAATCCCGGCCAGGCTACTTGGATAAGAAGTGACGACCCGTTTTGGTTTCAGTCTGGACTCAAAATAAATCGACAGCACATCTTAATTTAATGCTATCTTCAATAAAGTGCAACTTATGGTTATTTTACCATTACTGTCAAAAATAGTACCTAATTTAATAGGTAATACTAGAAACTATGTACGTCAACATAGTGGTGTGATTTTCCGAACAATTTCGCCTAGCAGCGGGTCAAGAGAGCGTGCTAAAGATGGCTCTAATGTATGTGCCCGTCGCTTTGCTGACGTCACGACAGATAAACATAGAGTAGGTAGATGTAGAGACCACTTTTTAATCAATTACTTTTAATTTTTGAGTTAGTACGACTAGCGTTAATAATACGATTACCTATTATTATTATTCTACCAACATCTTAAATTTGGCTAAAAGTACGTTAAGAGTAAAGTTACGTTTTATTTAAAATTAAAAATTTATGTTTTAAATAATACGTAACTAAACTAATATATAATACCTATGTATTAAAGTTTAGTAACATAATAATGACAAATAAAAGGCAACATACAAATTTTTCACAAAGCATGATCTAAAGAGATCTTCGTCTTTGTTAAATGGAGTTTTTAGAAATGTTAGAATTGGAAACTTTTTAATCGTTTAAAGCTTATTGGAGTCTAATTCAGTTTGGTTCAAAACAGTAAAACTCGTCTAATTGCGCTGTCTCTATACAGAGGTAATCTCTAGATGAAATAAAGGCTGGAAGCTGCCTACGCTTCAGTAAACCCAAATAACAGAGACATGTCTTACACGATACCCACGTTGCTCTACAAAAAAGGTACTTTAATTTCTTTTTAACTTTTCGCTCGCTTTTTTCTTAGCGAGGCCAAAACGATATCTTGCATATATCTACTATGCTTATACGCCTTCTAAAAACCGAGACCGTCTGGTCAAATCATTGGAACGCATCGCAGTCCCACTTTTGGGATTAGACCTCTTGTATCCGACATTGTTTCAAGAGTAAACAATTGATTTTGGAAACAGGTAATCAATTGAGCTGATCAGACTTTTATGCCCTGCCCGATCAAAAGTAATAATTCTTTTTCCACGCTTTCAACATACGACCTCTTCCGTTTCCGTTGGTAACTGGTATATTTAAAATATTAACTTAGTTCAGGCTCACCAGAGCAATGTATGAACGATTATTAGTAATAATTAAGACCGTGATGGCGCTACCACCAAAATAAATATCAGTGGGTTGAATAAAGTTCGACGATGACGCGGTAGCTTAATCGGTTAGCGCAATAGCACGGAACATTGTGGATGCCGGTTCAAGTCCTCTTCATGTCGTAAAATTATTTAAATTTAAAAATTTATTTTTAACTTTTCGATGTGGTTTTGATCCCTACCTCTCATCTTAGTGGATTAACCTGGTATTTTATGAAGAACTACACAATTATAACTCGTACAGTAAATATATTGTATTTAATATGTTAAAATTATTGCAGCTCACCAAATGACAACTGCCGCACGCAGGTGTGCACTTCAATTCAATTAAATAAACACAAATTGAGCAAACTCGATTTTTTCTCCGCAAAACTGGTCTTCAAATGACAAATTAATCTCTTGAGATACTTTTTCGGAGGCAACGAGCCGGCGCAAATTGCAGCGACATTTCGGTAGGACCAATAGATTTGTCCACCGTGACGGAAATACGTTGTGTACGTTCAATTGACGTTAACCGACTGTGCCGGGTGGGTAATGATTTTCGAGTAAGTATAATCTATATGATTCTTAAAACACCTCCTGTATAATGTCAAGTGCGTTGCCGCGCCTGTAGCGCAACCCAGAGAAGTATGCACCATAAATAGTTGAGGATTATATGGTCCTTATTTATGTAAATTATTATATAACCATATACATAAATAATAAAAAATACCTAACTTAGAATGTTCGTCATAACGGAAGCTTTACATTAGATTTATAAAGAGAAATAAATATGCATGACAGTATAAAATTGATAATTACTTATAAACATTTTAACACGCAGGACTCGAACCCACGATTAACAGCCAAACGTCCGCTGCTCTACCAAATTTTTTAGTTGAAATATTTTTATCGTCACACTTTTCAATAAAATCATAATGCTTTTACTTGGAATGGTTCGTTGCTTTTTGTTTGATGAAAGAAGTATTATTGTCATTAATAAGTTTCTTTATTTTATAACTGCTTTGTGTATCAGTTTTTTATCTTTGCCTACATTATATGTATGTTATCGAGGTACTCGCAAATCTCAAGTGATTGTCACCGATGGGAAGTTTTAATTCCATCTCAAACGGCAGAGACACAATTATTTACAGACGAACAAACAGATTTAGAATGTTTAAATATCCGGCTGAGCTAATTTTTTGTTCGGCTTTAATGCATTCTATTATAGAACTGTAGAAAAGGTTTCGCTTACAGAAATTGCTAATTCAATCAGGCGTTTTGTGACAATTTGTAAAGGTAAAGGGATTAAATGGGTCTTCTTTGATCATATTATGTATTATAAAAATTAGGTACTTTGCGCAGCGGAAAGGTCAAATACCTAAAGCATAACGTTTAACGGAAATGTGCTGTCGACCTATATAGGATTTGTATATTCGGAAACTAAAACCGTACCGCAGATACACTTAACTGCTTTTCTATCTATGGACAATGGTTCGTGACTCGAAGTGTATTTCGATATTCTTACCATCCATTGAATGCCCAGATTTTTCACATGTTTTGAGAAAAACTTGATTTCATAAACGCGAAGATAAATAGTTAGTAGGTACCTACTAGGAATTAATTCCTAACAAACTAAAGTTCAAGACAAACCCACCGCAAAACCAAAGTGCCTTTTGTTTTACAAATATAAAATATTTACATAAACGTATAGGCTAGTTAGGAAATTATTTTTACGGTTTTTATGTGACAGTATATTAGATCGACACACTCAGTATAAGACGAGAACGCTTCGCTAATGAAACCGATATAGACTGACACAATTTTATTGTGAATACAAAATCCTTCATAGTATTTCTAAACATATTTGTTAGATGTTTTAGGGAAATAAAATAGGTACAAAAAGCTCACGGAATGCTAACAGACATTCTAATAAAAAACAACAGGTTTGCGGGCGCGTTGGCGCCATCTTTCGTTGTTTCTTT